CATTCGTCTACTGGCTTAAGTCCTTTTGAGGTTGCTTATGGGTTTCGTCCTTCTGTCCTTCCCGGTGCGTTCTCCGACAAGGGAATGCCCGCCTTGGACCAGCACCTCGCCTCTTTGCGGAAGACGTGGGATCAGGTCCATGTTGCGCTGTCTCGTTCAGCAGCTGCTCAGAAAAAGTTTGCTGATCGCCGTAGGGTTGCGGCCCCTTCTTATCTTCCGGGTGATAGGGTATGGTTGTCCTCCCGGAACCTCCGTCTCAAGGTTCCCTCGATGAAATTTGCCCCCAGGTTTCTTGGTCCCTTCAAGGTGTTACGTAGGGTTAACCCCGTTTCCTACTCCCTTGATCTGCCTCCTTCCATGCGTGTCCCGAACACGTTTCACGTCTCGCTTTTGAAGCCCTTGCTGTGTAACCGGTTCTCTCGTCCCCTCGGGCGGCCCGTTTCCCCTCGAGCTGTCTCTGACGACGTGTACGAGGTGGCTGCCCTTCTCGACTCTCGTGTTTCTAGGGGTCGGCTGCAATATTTGGTGGACTGGAAGGGGTACGGCCCTGAGGAGCGGTCCTGGGTTTCAAGCTCCGATGTGCACGCTCCCTCTTTGGTCCGCTCCTTTCATGCCCGCTTTCCTTTGAAGCCTTCCGCTTCCCGCCCCCTGGGCGGTCTTCGAGGGGGGGGTAATGTCAGGCTCCCGCGGGCGGCTGCGAGGGGAGGCTGCACTCCGCTCGCAGTACTCACCCTCCAGCCGTCCGCGGTCCCCTCCACCTCGTGGGTACGGCGAGCGGCATCCTTCCAGCCTCGGATGCCGCCCGCCGTTCCCTCCACGTCCCCCAGCGGCAGCATGCATGACGCTGCACGCTGGGAGACCGCCCAGGGTTATACAAAGGCAAAGTGCCACAATCACAGTGGGAGGTCTAAATATCTCCCACGTGTGATTGTTAATTCTGATTGGAAATTATCCAATCAGAATTAACCTGATGGTTTAAATACTTACCTTTCCTGTTCCTCCCTGCCCTGTTGTGGTCTTTGCTTGCTAGTATTGCTACTTACCTTGTGCTTCTGGTTACGTACTCTCTGGCTTGTTTATCTGACTCTGTGACTTTCTCCTACCCTTTGACCTCGGCTCGTTTTACGTTATTCTGTCTTCTGGTTCCCCTTTACTCGGCTTGTCTCCTGACTATTCTGTGTGTGCTTAGCCCGGCCACTCTAAGGTCCGGTACGGCACCTTTTGTGTGTGTGTGTGTGTGCCAGCGTGTTGGGTTCCCCGAATCGTGACAGAACCCAATCATCTACAGTTTACGGAACAAGGAAGTACAGGAAACAGTGAGATCTTATGTTAAGAAACTATTTGCATGAGTACTTAGGAAAAGTCATATTTCCATATTAATATACATATAATAAAATTCACATTGCTTATATTATACATTACAGACCCAGTGTTAAAACAACATTGTCACACCGAACTTACCTTTCTCCTGTTGTTTCCTCTTCTCTTCGTCTCTCAGAATTTGTTCTTCTTTTTTTTATTTCTAATCTAGTTATTTTTAAAACATAAGATAAAGTAGGGACTACTCCGTCTTATGTATTTTTCCTACGCTTGACCAGAGAAGGAGTTTGTGTCATAAAAATTACTCACCCTTCTCTTTGACCACAAGCTCCTCTTTTTGGTCACAGAAAGTGAAGCGTATGAAAAATACACAAGATAAAGTAGTCCTTACTTTTTATTATGTTTGAAAGAAAACTAGATCAGAATTAAAGAAAAGAATAACAGATTCTGAGAGAGAAAGAGAAGAGGAAACAATAGGAGAAAGGTAAGTTCAGCATGACAGTGCCGCTTTAAATAGATTTTTTCCTAAAAATGTTATATGGTTAAAATATTATAAACCAGCTTTTTTTTAAAAAATAATGCTATTGTATTGTCACAGAGTGAATGGATTATTGAGAGGGGCCGGGGATGACACGACTGCCGTGGTCCATACTGGTACCAATGACAAAGTCAGAGAAAGATGGAGAGTTCTAAATATTGAGTTTATGGAATTATGATGCTAACAGAAGAAAAGGATATCTAAGGTAGCATTTTCAGAGATATTACCTGTGCTGTGCACTACAGTAGAAAGGCATCTGGAGATTAAGAAGATTAATGCATGGCTAAAGCCATTGCATAGGAAGAAGGGTTTTGGCTTTTTAGAAAACTTGTATGATTTTGCACTTGAGTACAATCTTTGTAACCATGATGTATTGCATCTATATGGAAAAGAGTCTGCTGTGCTGGGGGATAGGATGGCTAGAAGTTTGCAGGAGATTGTAACCTAGTTATAGGGGGTAGGGGCACAGAAATCTACTAAATGGAGGTAGGACGGAAAGCAGATGAGATTTCGCTCAGCACAATGGGTTTGGAGATTGGGGGGGAATCAGAACAGAGGAGGTATGTAATAAGAATTTACTTACAATACAAGTGGTTCATTACAATATTTAATGTATGCATACTAATGCATGGAGCCCACATTACAACATGGGGGAACTAGAACAAATAGCATACACCAAGCAATATGATGTAATATGCATAACAGAAACATGGTGGGATGAGACACATTACTGAGCAGTAAACTTAAATGGTTACACATTACTTAGGAAGGATAGAATAAACAGGAAAGGTGGAGGGGTATGTTTGTATGTCAACCATGAGTTAAAGCAAAATATGTAGCAAGTGGAATATGACAAGGAAAATGTGGAAGTTTTATGGGAAGATTTATGCTTGGGGCAAAAGAAAGGAAGTCAATAATTGGTTGGGCTATGTTATAAACCACCTAATGTTCATATTGATTAGGAAAGTTGCACATCTGAGTAACACTTTAATTATTCGATATTTGAATAATGTGGACATAAAGTGGGATAGTTGCGGATGTATCTACCTAAAATACAGCCGTTATAATATACTGATATATACATATAAATATTTAAAGGACGAGTATGTTTTCCTGGCTCCATAGGGTCCTTTGGTCCCCCTCACGTTCTGGGTCCCCCTCCCGCTGGGCTCTAGGGTGAGGAAGGGGTTAAATTCCTACCTTTTTCCAGCACCAGGCTCCCTCAGCGTTGGGGAATCTCCTCCTTCTGGTCCAGAGGTGGAGATAAGGCGTACCTATAGAAACAATAAGTGATCACCCCCTTGTGTTCCAGACCAACATCAATGCAAATAGAAACTTTGCCACAGAAATAATAATTGCATCTATGAATTTGTTACCATTTTTCCATTCCATAGATATGTCACACTTCTTATTTGTGACCCGATATAGCGGACATCTAAATCCCTTCCCAAATGGCTTGTTATGCAAATCATGTTTAGGTTTGATTAGAAGATTGTGCTTGTCCCAATCTAAATATAATAAAAATTAGGCGTAATTATTCATCTGTGGGTAAGTATTAATGTTTTTTTTTATATGATACTGGAACACAAGGGTTTTCTTGAAGGCTAATGGCCATTAACATATCAAATAAATTAACTATCTATTAAGAGTTTCATGTCATATGGTCGAAGTCAGTTAGTTTACATTGGAACTAGACATACAGGGAGCTCACATGTGGACTTTCATACCTTGCAGAGTAGTTCTGTTGAGGTCCCAGCTTCAAAGAGGAATTTAGGTTGTAAACCTTCTGACCTCCCATACAATCAAATTAACCCCTTTTGAAATTGGCAATACCAGACAGCCAGTTCATCTATGCATTATACAAATTACATTAAATTGCAATATAGTGCAGAAATGAATTATGCACCCTTGCTGTGACACCTCCCCCAAATAAGAGACGCAATGGGAGAAGGCTCTTATGCCTCTACCTTGCGTATCAACACTTGTTCTTTCTTGCCTCCACATCATACACTCATCTTTTTCATAACACTTTTTATGTATGAATGTGGTAGCCCTCATGTGTTCGCACACCTCCCCCAAAAAGGCTTGCATTTACTCCCTAAGCCATATCACAGCCATATCCACAACAAAGATGCCTGATTTGCTTGTTTCCATTTCTCACTGATCTCTAGTCACATCCTTTGGGATGCACCCACTATGTTTATGTAGTAGCTCTAAGGGGAAGAAACCAATGGATTTCTGAAGCAACCCCCTGTAAGCACATAAAAGATGAGACAAAGGGGACGTGATGACGCTCACGCCGGGAGGGGAGGAGCTGGGACCGGACCGGAGAGATCGGAGGGAAGAGAAGGCGAGACGCTAAGCCAAGAAACGCCATTGCCACCTCGCTAGCACGGAGCCCAAGCAGGCTGATATTTACCTTTCCAACTGACCCAGCAGCGTGATACCAGACAGGATGACAGCTAAATGATCCAGGCGGACATCCAGGTTGATACCTGATTGAGTGAGATTGCTTCCCTTTTTTTTCTTTATCATTTTTTGGGGCATGTTATGCCAAAAGGCAGATATAACATGGTGAATAATTGCTGCACATAGCAAGACTTTCTCAACGTTTTTCAGCAATAAATAGTACAAAAAGCGAAATAAAACATGTGAGACCTTAGAATGGCATAAAATGCATGTTATGTTACTGGATGGTCTTGCTGACTCAGTTGCACACATATAGCACATATACAGCTGATGCTGATTGATTGCCCTGGGCTACCTAGGACATAGAGGGGAATCAGTTATTTTTTTTTCTGTTTTCCTCCTTCTTCCTACTTTAAAATAAGTTTTCCTGACGGCATACTCTCATTTATTTCATAAATTTAAAATGATATGTCTTCCAAAAAAGCTCAAGAGAGTAAAGTTTCAACAAAAGCTGATAAGAAAGGCCAGAAGCAAGAAAAAAGATTATCGGCTTTCTTTGTCCCACAAGATAACCAAGAATGCTTGGAGCAATCATCTTTGGAATCATACAGGGGTTTCTGTTTCACCTATTAAAGTTATGGATAAAGAAGTAGTTACTCCTACTTTTTTAAAGAAATGTTTGGAAGATTTTTCTAAACATATTAAAAAAGATTTGAGTGATAAATTTTCTGATATGAAAATGGACTTAGCTGCGTTAAAGGAACATATTCATAAAATAGAAGAAAAGGAAGAAGATATAGTATTCCAGCTTCAGGAAGTAAAGGACACTCAACTCAAGAAGGAATTGAAAATGAAAGAAATGGAAGATAAAATGTGCGAGCTGGTAGACAGATCAAGAAGGCTGAACCTAAGGTTCAGAAATATATCTGAGGAAATATCAGATGCTCAACTATATGATTTTTTAATAAATTATTTTAACTGTTTGGGGATCCTTACGGCACAGCAAGATATAAAGATGTCTCGGTACCACCGTCTTTCCTTTAGAAAGAAAGATCAGCTGTACCCATGTGATGTTATCGCAGCGTTTGTTTCATATGATCTCAGGACTCAGATCCTTCAGTTAGCGAGGAAGATGAAGATAAATGACGAAAAGTTTACAGCAATAAAAGTGCTAACAGATGTCTCTTATCTAACGAGGCAAAGAAGAAATCAATTTTCCACGGTCTTTCCGTATCTGAAGAAATTCAACTTAAAGTTTAAATGGACCGCTCAATCAGTTTTACTAATTTGTTATAACGATATATGGAAGTCTTTCAATTCAGTAGATCTGGCTCATGTCTGGTTAAAAGATATTGATATGTAGTCTTAGGTATTAGTCTGTCGGGCGATGTGATGTGTTCGTGCTCTCGCCTGAAAAATAGAGGGTGGGGGAGGGGGAAGCCTCTAAGGGGATAACTTGTGGTAATATTGTAATTTGGTGATATCACGGTAACATATATGAGAGCACAAGAGTGAACATATGCCTAGGATCTAAGAATGTATTTATAATGCCCTTAATTGGGATAATATGTGTAGTAGTTTATAATGGTAATATTGGAGCAAAGATTCTGAGGATAGCACCGCAAATAGTAAATTATTTAGAATTGTTTGTTTTTTATATTTCAGAGATTGAGAGTGTATACACAATGGTCCTATTAGAGATAAAAGAAAAATTAAGGGAAATATCAGGAGTGGTGTAACAAATATAGAGTATTTTTCTTTTTTCACGTGAAAAAAAATCTTGGTGTTATCACCGGAAATATATGTGATCACAAGGGTGATTAGAACTCTGGGAGTTAAGAGTGTATTTATAATGCCCTAAATTGGGACAATTTGTGATGTAGTTTATATTGGTAAGAATGGAGTAAAGATCTTGATGATAGCACTGTAAACAGTAAATTATTTAGAATTATCTATTATTAATACTTTAAAAGTTGAGAGTGTATTCACAATGGCCCTCAAAGGGGCAACATGAAAATTAGGGATATTGCTGGGAGGGGTATAATTAATATAGAGTACTCCAATTTAGTTATTTATTTTGAGTGGTGTAGGTTTTTGACAATTTTTAAGTGAGATTTTCATTATAGACACTTTTTTTTTCTCTCTCTCTTCTTCCACCTCTTTCTCGCTATAAGAAATTCCATGTTTCCATGCTCATTCCTGTGGGAGTCTATGGGATTCTCAGTATGTGGAATATTATTTTTGGTATTCCAGCTGTTTATGTAAATTTTGTTTTATTGTTGTATTGTCAGATGTGTAGTATGTTTAACTGGTCTCATATATTGCAGAAGTGGTCAAGGAGCCCTAAAAAGAAATATAGATTAAGTGATGGTTAGAATTCTAACTATTAATGCCCAAGGCCTCAACTCTCCTCTTAAACGAGGTTATTTGTTTAATACCCTGGTTAATCAGAAAATCCAAGTAGGGTTTATTCAGGAAACCCACTGGTTAGGGGAAGCTAGAAAATTATGGTTTTACAAAAAATATCCTGTGATTTATTCTGCTTCCTTAAAAGGAAAAAAGAAATGTGGTGTATCTATAATCTTTTCTAGAGAAGTTATCTTTGATTGCTGTTATAATCATCTAGACCCAGAAGGGAGATTTATTATTTTAGTGGGTCAAATGAATGGGTTGGATTATACTCTGGTCAATGTATATTTAACTAAAAAAGATCCAATTAAAACATTGACGAAAATCTTAGGTCTGGTAGAACAGGTTAAAAAAGGTAGAGTTATTTTCGCAGGCGACTTTAACTGCATTTTTGATACCTTTTGGATAAACAATTGGCTAAAAATCAGAGGATAGATAAATCTCTTAAAAGGCAGGCAGTGTTTTTAAGTAGAGTGATTAAGAAAGTGGATATATTCAACTGTTGGAGATTGTTCCACCCCAATGAAATAAATTTTACGCACAGATCTATCCCTCATAATTCGGCTGCTCGGATAGATATGATTTTGGGAAATCGAAATTTAGTTCAGGCAATTTCTTTAATTTCTATCTTTGAAAATACTTGGTCAGACCATGATATAGTAATCGCAGATCTGGTGGAAATTAATAAGAGACCTCTGCAGATCTGGAGATTGGCAGATTATTTGCTAAAAAATAAAGCAAATGTAGAACATATAGAGAAGTTAATTGATTTCTTTATTAAGGAGAATGCATCTGATGATGTATCTAAAGAATGTTTATGGTCCTCCTGTAAAGTAGTCATTAGGGGATATTGGATAAAACTTGCAAGTTTCCAAAAAAGGAATGTAGACAATATTTTGTCTGATCTCTATATTCAATTTTATAATCTTTCGAAAGCTAATAAACAATTCTACTCTGAAGAGAGAGCCTTAGCTATTAAAGTCTACCAAGAAAAGATAAATGATCAGATTAAGAATAGGGTGGAACATAATCTAAATAAGTTAAATATTAAATATTATTATTAGAACAACCGGGTAGACTCAGTTTTAACAAATAAATTGAAGAAAAAGATGACTGACCATTAGATCTCTAAATTAAGAGATGGAACTAATTATATCTATAAGCCTGAAGAAATTGCCAGTAAATTTAGAGCTTTATATCAAAAACTTTATAAACTGAATAAATCCCCCGACCTAAGTTTGTTGGACAATTATTTGAAAAATTCTAAGCTATCTAAATTATCTAATGACCAGATGGTGAAGCTTAATAGAAATATATCTCAATATGAAGTTGAGTTAGCAATTGATAAGCTTGTTAATAGTAAAGCTCCTGGACCAGGTGGGTATCCAGATTGTTTTTTTAAGGTTTGTAAAAGACAATTACTTCCGTTGTTAACTGATACCTTTAATGAATTGGCAATCAAAGGGAATGCATCTCAAGATTTATTAAGGCCACATATTACTCCAATTTTGAAACAGGGCAAAAGTCCAGATGATGTGAGTAACTACCGTCCTATTTCTCTGGTTAATGTGGATATGAAACTTTATGCCGCAATTTTAGCGGAACGTTTGAAAACAGTTTTGCCATCACTTATACATAGGGACCAGATAGGTTTTATGCAGGGAAGGCACTCCTCAAATAACACCCGTAGGGCTCTGGACATTATAGAATGGGCTCAGGTTGAGGGAACCCCCCTTCTGACCCTGTCGGTGGATGCAGAAAAAGCTTTCGACAGGGTCGGATGGGGGTATCTGAAGAGAACCTTGTTACAGTTCGGTTTCGAAGGGTGGTTTTTGAATGCGGTGGGAGCTATATATTCGAATCCCTCTGCCCGTATAGTAGCCGGTGATTTATGCTCAGATTGATTCTATATTAATAATGGGACGAGACAGGGGTGTCCTCTCTCGCCTTTATTATATGTCATCAAATGAACCACTAGAAAATAATATTAGACAAAATGCTGGGATTAAAGGATTAGGAACTCAACTTGATGAATGGAAGATATGTTTATATGCTGACGATATCTTAATTTCTATTACGGATCCATTGGTCTCTCTTCCTCATTTAATGCAAGAATTTAACAACTATAGTAGTGTTACAAATTATAATCTGAACACGAATAAAACAAAAGCTATGTCGATTAATATACATAAAGATAATTTAATTTCCCTAAAGAAAGATTTTGACTTTAAATGGACAAAAAAAGAGTTTATATATTTAGTGGTGCTTATAACTGCAGATATAAGACGGACTATGGAAATAAATTTTTGGAAATTGTTAAAAGAGACTAATATGTTATTAAAAGAATGGAGAGTACATGAAATCTCCTTGTGGGGAAGTATAAATACTATCAAAGCCTATATAATTCCTAAATGGGCATACCTATTCAGTATGCTCCCTCTCTCGATTTCAAGCTATTGGTTGAATATGCTGCAAAATAGCATTGCAGCTAATGTTTGGAGCGGGAAGAGACCAAGAATTAGTACATATACTCTATCAAGGAAGCCCCACCGGGGGGGTTGGGTTACCCCCTAGTTAATCAAATCTATCAGGCTAATATGCTTGTTCATGCCAGTAATTTACAACTAAGTGATTCTATAGACCAAGCTTGGTATAAAATTGAGGCAGCCAGACTTGGGTTAGATAATCTTCTATTCCTCTTATGGAGAGAGGCAAGTCAGAATAAGCATTTGTGTGAGATTAGTTCTCATTTTTCTTTGTCTCTATCACAGACATTAAAAGAATGGACTAATATAAAGAAGAAGTTGAATATTAATAAAAAACTATATGAGAACCTCAGTCTAAGGTCGCTAGAACGTTTTATGCTAGAGATAAATCTGATGAACTGGTTTAAAGATCCTAATTATAAGATAAAAGATCTTTATAATGATCACCAATTGAAAAGCTTTGAAGTTCTGAAAAACTGGTTAGATTTACCCTCTAGAGAATTATTTCATTTTCTTCGTATTAAGAGCTATTTGAAAGATAACATATTGGTATTAGACGGCCGTTTTGGAAAATTGTTTAGGAAATTTTTTTCAGGGTGTAAGGTTAAAAAGATATTCTCTATTGCAGTTGAACTAATAAAAACGAAGGGGACTCCATTTATCCCCAAAGCTTTAACCAAATGGGAAACTGACCTAGCAATATCCATTCCATTTAATAGTTGGTGTAAATCCTTTATGAGGACTAAAAAAAAACATTAATTGTCTGAATATTCTAGAGACTTTCACTAAAATATTGTATAGATGGTACTTGGTACCAACTAGACTTGCTAAAATATCTATTACTAACCCATCTAATTGTTGGTGGTGTCTACACCCAGATGGTTCTATGTTTCATACATGGTGGACCTGCCATCGAATTAAGTCTCTCTGGAGCATAACATTTGAATTTATATATAGAATTGGAGGTATACATCTGGAACACAAACCGGAAATTGCCTTACTCCATCTTATGGGCTTTGAAATAAAGGATAATCTCGATATTGTGATTATACATTGTTTAATTGCTACCAAAATATTAATTGCTAGATTTTGGAAAAGCACTGACATTCCTACTAGAGATCAAGTTAAAGCCCAACTCTTATTCCAAGTTGAGATGGAAAAGGGGTTAATTTACATGAGAGAATATCCCAATTTTAATATTTTGACGTTTTATTCCAGTCTTGTTGAAAAAATTAAAGGGCTTTAATGAGTTTGAGGTGGTGGGGTTACTCTCTATGATCACCTTATGCCTAACGGATGATTTCGTAGCGAGCACGACTATGGGGTTCCTTGACCACATATCTGATATTAGCTAATGTAATATTGGAACTTTTTTTTTTTCTTCTCTTTGATCTTCTATATCTCTGCAATATATCTGACCAGTTTTGTCTTTGTTACTGTCTGTCTAATTTATATAGGTTTTAAGGCCGCTTTTGGACCATGATATTCCTTTTCTGGGATATTAATGTTAGTATATTATTGTGTACTAGATGGCTTATTTCTGATGTAATTTGAAATAGATTAATATACCTTTGTATGTCTAATGGGAATAGGAGGCCTTATTTTTTTTTCTGTAAGGTTCCTTTCCCCAGATGTTGTTATGTCTATCAATATTTATATAAAAATGTTTATAAAAAGAAATTAAAGCTAAAGGATGAGACAAATTAGTAGTGTATTGAAAGCTTGGGCAAACTGATCCATATGGTGATCATTCTCCTCTAGCTTTCTCTCACAAGCTATTATGTGCTGACACAATTCTGCAGGATTTATGGCCATGTCGTAATGTCAAGATTACAGTTGATCCAGCACGCAGAATAGTATCACAACTTAGGACTAAAGGTAACGTTTAACCTGACCTTAGAACGGCCGGACTTAATGTACCAGAGAATAGTCAAAATACTAGCCAAGGTCAGGAACACAGAAAGAAACACAGTTGCCAAATAGTCAGGGATACCAGAAATCAGGGAAGTCAAAACAAAGCCAAAGTCAAAGGAAAGAAACACGATCAGGAACACACTCTCGGATAACTAGCAAAGGCATGATAGGGCAATGAGTGGAAGAAATGAGTGAGTTTAAATATCCCTCTTGTGGATCCGATTGGCCGTATCCGGCCTTTGACCCCAAAATGTGCGTTCTCTTTGTGATGTCACCCGCACATCGACATCACTACCACCGTGGAGAGATGTGGGGCTATATAACAGTGTGGATTCACAGCGGCCGTCGTCCACTGGCATGTCGCAAAACCCTGGCCTTATGGCATAGGACCGCCGAGCACCACTTTTCCTATTTCTGTAAAGGTGATTATTGTCGTGCATAGCATATGGAGTGGATGCATACGTGACAGAAAAATCTTTTAGTTATCCCACCGCTGCCACCAATTTGTCATGAACACACCCTACTCTAAAAGTTATCCCACCGCTGCCACCAATTTGTCATGACCACACCCTACTCTAAAAGTGTGCGTGACTTAATTGTGGTCGTGAGAGGGTTAAAGCTCACTCTTTGCCTGCGCTAGACCAGAAATAGTCTCCGAAGTAGGCCTCATTCTTGATAAATACTTTCCCTTTGGACCTTGGTGTGCAGAGGAGCAAATCACGATTGTCTCCTGTGTCACTACACAGGAAGACCTACAACTTATATATTCTGTGGCCAATCAGCACCCAGAGGCAATATGAAATTTACAAGATGATCACCAAGAGGTAATTTGAAGCTGGTTCCCAAAAGAGGAGACACCATTATTTTGCTCATTAAAGTCAAGGGCAAGCAGTAAACCTCCAATGCAGGTTCAAGTGAGTAGATTCAAGCTCAGTCAATGCTTGGGTACAACTGAGATATTTGTCATATTTGAAAAATATTGTCAGAGCAATGAGAAATTGTGTCTTTCTAAGTTCTGCAGTCAAGTTTGGTCCATCTTCATATTCATTTAAACCACCTCTTCTAACTGTGTCACTTGTCTGAGCTGAAATATCATATCATATCCATAAGAATCAAGAATCATCCATAAGAATCAAGCATTTATATCTACATGCTTTCAAGGTTGTTACATTTATGTCTATCCTCCTCTAGAGAGCCTGTTCTTGGTTCTGAGCTATTACTCAGAGTTGTTTTATTTAATATACTACACTATATTTTTTATCATTGTAATTTTACATGCTTGCAATTTATGAGAGAATATATTTAACATTGTTCAGGTACACGTTGTGATGCAATCTGTATTATTATTATGATTTCTGCCTTTAAGACATTATTTGTTTAAAATGTATGCTTATTTTTGGGGGTATTTTTAGAGTATAACATGTTTTCTCAAAACACACGTGTTTTCTCAAAAGGCGTACCTCAGAGCTTGCTTTCTGCATACATTAATTGATTTACTATCATAAATTGCTTACTATGGGACCTAAAGTGCCTGAGGAGAACATTCTGTTTCTATTTATATGGGATCAGTAGATGGGATAAGTATATTTCTTTTCGCAGATGAATTAGAGCATCTACTGTGCAGGTAGGTTAAAAAAAACACAACATATACAACAGTAAATATTAGATTCTTCATTGAGTTAGGAAATATCTAAAAAAAAAAGTGTTCAATAACATATTAAAATATGCGATTTTTATGAATCATAAAATTAAAAAAACGAATATTTTCATGTTCTCTCTTGTATTTGTCCATAATAAATAAGCAAACTTTTGTATTTAATATTTAATATATATAATTTTTTTACAAACAGATGAGATGAAAGTAACATACTTTTAATTGGTTTCTAAACAAATATCAATTCACAAAATTTAGCTATAGTTCTTAAGTGTCAAATCTAATATACATTTTGCCAGATTAAAAAAAATTAATGTAAATTGTATGTAGCATACACTTGAAAAAAATCAACCTGTAGAGCTAGAAAAAGCAAACTTGTGCCACTTCTTACTTGATCTGTGAATAAAATTAACATTTAGTGATTCTCCTCTAACCACCATCCATCTTTTTCCATCAATCTATTTTTTGGCGCCACGGACAGAACTCCAAACCACAAAACTAACAAATCTATTTCATCCACTGTCCATCTCATTTGTTTTCATGATTTGTCCAAATAGCACTTTGAAGATCAGGATTTCGGTCGTACTGCAGATCTTCCAAAATTCACACAAATCACAATTAGTGAGTGAAGTCTAATTGTTTGTGCTTTCTCATGTGTTCTGTGAAAATATTATAATGTTACATATTTTTTAACTTTTTTTTTGTATTACAGCTAATAGCTGCGTTACATTTTGGTTGTGAAAAAGAAGCATTTAAAATGGAAAGATGGAATAACACAAGATTCAATGAGTTTGTTCTTTTAGGTCTGACAGATAGTCCTGCGCTCCAGAAATTTCTTTTTAATTTGTTCATTTTATTTTACATAGTTACACTACTCTCCAATGCTGGGATCATGGTGACCATCATGGCAGCTTCCAATCTCAACACCCCTATGTATTTCTTTCTCTACAACCTGTCCTTCTTAGATCTTTGCTATTCCACGATCATAACACCAAAGATGTTAGCCAACCTTTTGTCAGATAAAAAAACGATAACTTATCCTCAATGCATACTGCAGATGGTTTTATTTGGGGCTTCAGTAACCATTGAGTGTTTCTTACTTGGAATTATGGCCTATGATCGATATGTTGCTATCTGTAATCCATTGTTATATGTGATCGTTATGAACAAGAGACTATGTGCCCAGCTTGTAGCGTTTGCCTACCTTGGGGGCTATTTTAATGCCACAATTCATACAACTTGTACTTTTGATTTGCCATTCTGTAGAAGCAATAAAATAGACCACTTCTACTGTGATGTGCCACCACTCCTGAAGCTCTCTTGCACCGATACCACAACAAACGAACTCATTATGTTCATATTTGGTGGATTTGCCGAAATGAGCTCCCTCATAACTATTACTGTGTCCTACACCTATATCATTTCTTCAATTGTAAGTATTAGTTCCCACCAAGGAAGGTCAAAAGCTTTTTCCACTTGTGCATCGCATCTTACGACTGTCATTATGTTTTATGGGACGATCATGTTCATGTATTTAAGACCTTCCTCTACGTATTCCATGAGTCAGGATAAAGTTGCTTCTGTGTTCTACACAGTGATTATTCCAATGCTGAACCCACTAATCTATTCTTTACGAAATAAAGAGGTAGCACGAGCACTAGTAAAGATTAAGGAAAAACAGATATCAAGGTGGTTATAGTATGTATGCTTTCAACATATTCACATATTTTTCAGTATTTGATAACATATTTTACATATATTAAGTAATAAGTTAATTTTAAAAATTTATATTCCAAACACTTTTTTTCTGCATTGTGATAACAACAAGGAATTAAGCAAGGAATTTATATATATTCGGTGTCCTAAATGTTATTCTTTTTGTTAAAGGAGGTGATATTTTTACAAATTTGTTTTTACTGCATTATCCTTCAATTAACTAATAAAATTATGCACGTCTCAGATTTTGATAATATTCATATTGCTCTGAGTACAACCTTGTCTAAACAGTCTATTCCCGATGATTGAATCTTACCCTTTACAACCATTTGATGCCAAATATATGCAATTTGCTGCAGGTTTATTTATTTTCTGTGTTCTTTCTCACTCTATTTACTAAATGTTGGTTTCACCTCAGAAACCAAATAATTCAAAGGAAGAGAAACTCACAAGCTTCTTCACTAAAATGACAATTAAAAGTGAATTTTAAATTTAAGTTTGAAATACAAGTTGGAAAAGTTTACTAAGTCAGCTATGTGTCGTGAATCAAATCAAGTGTTTGATAAATTTGTATATGTTCCCCTGTCTAAATTGGTGTTGCGTGCACGCTTCCTAAAGTAATTCTTACCAGATACAAGTTTCCAGGTTGATGAAAAACTCAGGAGTCTTTATTCCGGGGGGCCGGTATGCCCCTTATAAAGCAGAAATACATCAAATGCATAATTATAGATAACAGAGGAAAATACATCAAAAATTGGTTAGGTGTTAAGTGGTTCATCAATTGCTCATACTACCGGGTGAGATGTCACTGGCATAATGGAGCTCTCCTCCAGATTCCGGCGCCATCTTGTTAATTCAAGGGTGTTAGTTGATAACGGGGGAAACTCCCTAGCGCCCATTAACTTGTGAATAATATTGATTATAGTTAGGCAGAGTAAATAGGCATTTTACTAAAAATGAATAGAGTTAATATTCTGTCCACAACAGTCCCCCCTTAAAATGACTATTTACAATGTATACAAATACCAACTATCCCTACTAATATCCCTAATAGGCTGCTGCTCATCTTGTCAAACAGGTTTTCTCAAACTCTTCACTGCGCTAGGACCCGTAGTGGCTTGTCCACTACATCTCCGTAACAGACTTTTTACCCGTAAGACAAGACGCTGTCCCTGTAGTTTCTCTAAATAGGGGTAATTGTATACTTGGTGTGGTGGGACTGAAGAGGTGTATGTGTCACAAGCTCCATCATCAATGTCTTGGTGTATGAAGGTGGAGGTGGTGCGGTCAATGGTTTGATCTACAGTCTTCTGCAAATATTTCTGTACACAAGGCATTATACAGCAGACGAAGAAAAGGTAAAAATCATCACAATTAGGACAGCCATTCCCACTAGGAAAAGTACTTTCTGCCATCCATTCATCCATCCATCTCTCCCATGAATTGGTGCTTCCTGGGTTTCTTTTTAACTCTTCCGAGAGGCTTTCAAGCCTTTCGATGGCCATTGTTACTTTCCCATTAGGGCCCGTGTAATCCGGGATAAAAGTGCAGCATTTCATGGTGTCTGGGAGTATTTTACACACCTCCTTTTTCTGCCAGAATCATATCTAGGGTCATCCTATTCTGAAATGTCATTTGGGAAGTGGCTTGTAATTGTTCGGCCAGGCCCTGGAGGGCATCTCTGGTATAATTGACAAAGCGTTGCTGATTATAATAGATATAGTTAATCCAATTTACATTCTTATTGGCTGTGATGAGGGCAATTAAGGATTCGAATCCAGCCGCAACCTCATCTCTGGCTTTAAATTCGTTTGGCACCCTCCTTGGCACCCCTATGGCATCTATGTATATGTGAGGGTCGAAACTGCCCTGTACAGGAGTCTCTCTTTTTGCTCTTAAGTATGTGTGTGGTGAGTCAAGAAGGCCTTGGTGGTTGTCTGATATTATGTGTATGGGCATGATAACTTAAGTCAGAGCACATTCCCTCCACCATAGACTTGTCAATTTGGATATGAGTTGCATGTCCCCACATAGCCAATAAATGTCTCCCAAGGATTTAACTTGATTCATTAACAAGGTAGTAGCACAATACCCAGAAGGGAATTTCCCCACGAACTTCCCTGTGGTACTGTGTGTAGTGTAGCAAGTGTAATTACCTGGATATATTGTGACTCCATCAGGTGGCCTGATATCCCTTTGGGTTAGAGGGTATATCTTCTTCCATGATTCACATACTGATGAGTTTGTAATTGACTGCACAAACATATTTCAAAATCAGGAGGTAGATTTAAAGGCACTGTACCTAGATGGGGTCTGGCTCCACCACAAACATAACAATTGGTTTTATTATGAGAATTAGCATTATATCTCATCCACTCAAGCCACAGATTAGTATCTGAAAACCCAGTCTCCACTGCCATAGTGTCTTCGAATGTAGAGTTGTCTATGTCCACCATGTCTTTAAGAGTTTTGATATGAGGTTTGAGAGGGTTGATGGTCATATGTTTTGTATCTACCCACTCAGGTGATGTGTGCATGTCTTGTAAAGAGAAAGTTACCAATTTGTTATATGAACCACCCCCTCTCCAGTACATTCCCATTATATACTCACCAGCGTCTCCTGGACTAGGGTGTTCTATGTTTAAGGTGAGTTTCATGGGGGTTGACCCTGCTGGTTTACATAAAGCCATTCTGTGTAACAGAGATTTCCCATTTCTATCCACCCTATCTATGGCACTCCGTGGTCTGCAGCCCCATGGTTGGCCCGCGTTCCAACCCGCTGCTTTCCATGAACTACAACGATGTCCCTAATGGTCACAAGTCACACAAATATATGGGTCCTTTTTATTAGGTATGTCTTTGTATATAGTTGAATGTTGTGATTGTAAGAAAGAGACAATGTCACAGTAATCAAATGTGAAAGTGGCAACATGTGTGTTGGAAGAATTATACCAAAAAGTGTAAACATGATTATCTTTGGTAATTGCAACTTGTTGGGCCTTTAACAGGCCTAGCAGCAGAAAAAGGTTCTGGAAGCTCATGGCTTAACGAGATCTGCTTCCTCTGGAGCTGGAACTTTCTTGCAATGCGAAGCGTGCATCCAAGTGTTCTTCCCAGCTAGCTTTACTGAGGTGGATGTAGTTAGAAGGACTTGGAATGGACCATCAAATCTTGGCTCAAGAGTATGTTTCCTCAGGAATTTCTTAACCAGAACCCAATCACCAGGGAGCAACTTATGGGTGCTTGTATCAGACTCTGGATCTGGAATAGAAAAAAACACTGCATGGATTTTGGTCAAGGCATGAGAGAACAGTTATGTAATCTACCATTGCATCTGACTGAATTTGGAGTTGCTGGGGGAAGTAACAGCCTAGCCTGGGAGCTAAATTTCCTTCTTGGAGTGTACCTCACACTAAATAGTGCTATGTGAAGACTTTATGGCCAGGGTAGGTTAGTTTCTTTGGCCATCTTAAGCATCCTGGCTTTCAGGGTGCCATTCATGCATTCTACCTTACCACTACTCTCTGGGTGATAGGGTGTATGGAATGCAAGGGTCACCCCCAGTGCTGCCCAGATTTCTTTGGTCAGTAATGCAGTGAAGGATGTGCCCTGGTCACTCTCTATCACTTCAAGAACTCCGTATCTGCAGACGATCTCTCTGAGTAGATGTTTTGCTGTGGTCTTGGCAGTGAGGTTGGCAACGGGGAAGGCTTCTGGCCATCCTGAGAACATGTCCACTATAACTAGTGCATATTCATACCGACCACTTTTTGGCATTTGAATATGATCAATTTGGATTCTTTGGAAGGGATAATGTGGCTATGCCAGGTGTTAATTATTGTCACCGGATTGCATTTGGCACAAATGGTACAAGATCTGCAGTAATTCCTGGTCAGAGTAGTAATACCAGGTGCTTCGAAATATTTGTCAGTTAGAGAGTTCATGAGGTGTTTGGATAGATGTGCTGCTCCATGGGCCCATTGAATTACTGCTGGATACATGTTTTTGGGTAGACAAAATTTGAGTTTGATGGTGTACACACCATTCTGTAGAGTTGCCCCTTTTTCTTTCTGGCTTTGTCTTTCCTCTGGGGTGGCAGCTGCTTGCTGTTCTCTCAGAAGCTGGAGGTCTGTAGGTAAGGTTTGCATAGTGTAGATAGGAGTTTCTTCTGCGGACACTCTTCTGTCCACTTCCATTGACTTTCGTGCAGTATCCTTAGCGGCCTGGTCAGCTAAATGATTGCCATGTGCTTCTTCTGAATTCAATCTTCCATGGGCCTTCAACTTCAGTATGGCCACTTTTTCATGGAGCAGCAGGGCATCCATCAGTTCTTTGATAGCTGTGCCGTGCTTGACCGGCATACCAGTTGCTGTAAGGAAACCTCTTGCTTTCCAGATTAATCCAAAATGTGCCACTCCCAGGGCGTATCTTGAGTCAGTATAAAGTCAGTATAAATATTAGCACGCTTTCCTTCAGACATTTTGCATGCTACTGTGACGGCTATTAATTCAGCTTCTTGAGCAGACTTAGATGAGGGAAGTGAAGATGCTTGAAGTACTTGATCTTCTGTTGTGACAGCAAATCTAGTATGGTATTTTCCCTGTGCGTCCGCAAATGTGGAGCCATCCACAAACAGGGTGAAGTCAGGATCTGGCAAAGCCACTTCATGCACTGTTGGGAGATGTGTGGTCTCAATTTTCATCTGTTTGAAGCAATCATGGGGAGCATCTGGGTCTTGTTCTTTAGGAGGGGTGTCTTTGCTTATTTCTGTATGATATCAAGGGTAACCAACTGTCTTGCAGTTTACAGTTCTCCTGGTGACTCCTTCCATCGTGAGTTGCTCTTGACTTGCAGTGCTCCATGTTTTTGCTAGAGGGCCAAGTTCTTTCCAGAAGGAGACATGAGGAACAGCCACTTCCCAATGATGATACATGTGTGTTACTTACATAGGTAAGTGGACCAGGATCACACTGTTTCCTTTAG